CCCGGCCACATACTGCACAGACGCGGGTCAGGCAGTCCCAGCCCCGAAGAACTCGCTCTCTGGGCACAGCAGATGGACAAAAGGTGGGAGAGGAAACGGGGGCCGAGAGAGACGGTGACTTGCCTGAGGTCACAAAGCAGAGCCACCACACAGCTCTTGGATGATGGTATGGGCTAGATTTGACGCAGACGCTGCCCAGGGAGGCCTTCTGGCCTGTGTTTTGTACAGGGGTCAGGCTACGGTTCATTATAGTCGCTCTCTGGGCACAGCAGATGGACAAAAGGTGGGAGAGGAAACGGGGGCCGAGAGAGACGGTGACTTGCCTGAGGTCACAAAGCAGAGCCACCACACAGCTCTTGGATGATGGTATGGGCTAGATTTGACGCAGACGCTGCCCAGGGAGGCCTTCTGGCCTGTGTTTTGTACAGGGGTCAGGCTACGGTTCATTATAGTTCCTTCTGGCTGGACTGGAAATCGGTGACCCTCCGTTTCTCGGCTTCTAGCCCAAGGCTGCCATCTACTGGCCCGACCTGCTGTTCCTCTGATTGCAGGAGCTTGTCCTGGGCGGACAAACCCAACGCCCATTATGCTAGCTAGGTACAGAGGCTGATCATATGTGTTCCAGTCCACAGCTCCCTTCAGGCAGACCTTAGCATGCAGCTTGCCCCCCGGGTTTCAAGTATTTTGTCCCGTCCTCAAAGGGGCGATGTGCACCACTTCAGCACCGCAGTGCACCAGCCCCCTCGGCCCTGCATGCTGCGCACGCCTCTCCCTTGCCCCCGGGTTCCTGGCCTCTGTTGCTTGTGGCTCTGCAACTGGGCAGCGTCTGTTCCCATCTGGCCTGTGACTGGCCTTGGCCCTGACGCCGTGAGGTGGAACACTCTTCCCCTGGCTGTGCGGGCAGCTCCTCTCAGAGCGACGAGGCAGCAGTGCACCAGCCCCCTCGGCCCTGCATGCTGCGCACGCCTCTCCCTTGCCCCCGGGTTCCTGGCCTCTGTTGCTTGTGGCTCTGCAACTGGGCAGCGTCTGTTCCCATCTGGCCTGTGACTGGCCTTGGCCCTGACGCCGTGAGGTGGAACACTCTTCCCCTGGCTGTGCGGGCAGCTCCTCTCAGAGCGACGAGGCAGTTGGGGACTAGCTGGCGCAGCTCCATGGCTTTAGCTGGCGTTACACAAGCTCCAGGGCGAGCCCTTGGAACCTGCATTTAAATCACAGATATGGCTGGGCCGGGACTCCACGCTTGTGCCTGGCTCCTGGAGTTACATGGCCTCATGGGGACACTATGCTGGGAAGGGGCGCGCAGACTGTGTCTGGGATCTTTTAAACTATTTGAGAACCGAGGACACGTACGGATAACTGTTGCTTCGGAAAGGAGATAGGGGAAGGCACATACTGCACAGACGCGGGTCAGGCAGTCCCAGCCCCGAAGAACTCGCTCTCTGGGCACAGCAGATGGACAAAAGGTGGGAGAGGAAACGGGGGCCGAGAGAGACGGTGACTTGCCTGAGGTCACAAAGCAGAGCCACCACACAGCTCTTGGATGATGGTATGGGCTAGATTTGACGCAGACGCTGCCCAGGGAGGCCTTCTGGCCTGTGTTTTGTACAGGGGTCAGGCTACGGTTCATTATAGTTCCTTCTGGCTGGACTGGAAATCGGTGACCCTCCGTTTCTCGGCTTCTAGCCCAAGGCTGCCATCTACTGGCCCGACCTGCTGTTCCTCTGATTGCAGGAGCTTGTCCTGGGCGGACAAACCCAACGCCCATTATGCTAGCTAGGTACAGAGGCTGATCATATGTGTTCCAGTCCACAGCTCCCTTCAGGCAGACCTTAGCATGCAGCTTGCCCCCCGGGTTTCAAGTATTTTGTCCCGTCCTCAAAGGGGCGATGTGCACCACTAGGCATGGGCTGTATCTTAGTCTCGGTGCTGCTGATTGAGCGGGGCTGTGCCAAGGCTATTATTAGCCCAGAAGCTAATGGAAACCAAAACTGAAGTGGCTGTCACAAAAATAAGCAGGTCACAGCAGGGGGTAAAATAATTTCCTAATACACGTTTCATGTCACTTAAGGATTTCTTTGGGTTTCCAGCTAACTTCCTAATGATTAAATGTATGCTAATGTCATTATGAATTTGCCAATGCCAAATAGAGCATAAGATACTAATGACTGTTTTAATTTGCATTAGTAAATTACATGCTGCTAATGTGCTTGTCACTGGAGCATAATATGCAGCTGTACCTACTGCATGCACCCAGCTAATGGGGACTATCAAACAGCTATTTATGGGGGGAGTCATTAGAAGAAGGCGATGTCGGTTCCCAAGCTAATTGGTTCAGTGATACATGGGGAACAAAACTCCCTGCCCGCTAGGTGGTTAATGCAGACAGGAGGAAGCTGCTGGCTGGTTAGACAAGACCAAGTAAACCTTACAGAGGCCCAGCCAACGGCTCACTGCATCACCCACCGCCAGGCCCCCTTCCTGTCGGGCTGGTGGTGTCCTGGCTGAATGGGACAGCTCAGGGCAAAACCTTTCAACCCCCCGAATACCCATCGGCCCTGCTCTCTGCACAGCTGGGAGCCCTTCAACTCTCGGAGTCGGTCAGACCCTCTGTCAGCTTTCCAGGGAGGGTCCCAGAGGCCTGTGAGCCGCTGGTGGACCGTGGGCTAGTCAGTTTGGCCCCTACAGCTGGCTCTCCATGTTTGAATAGTCCAGTCCTTGTACCTCCGCCTCTGCAAAGTGAACAAATCACACACGGCTCCTTGGAGCC